TCTTCAGGAGTCTCAAAGAAAAGCCGGAACCTGCTGTTTTCAGAGTGGCTGGGTTATTTGAATATAATATGCACATACACAATACAACATCAATCAGCCAATCAATCATCTCTCCACATCAACCACTTGTATGTTTACCATCTGTAACTGTCTCTCACCTCTCACCTATTTGCTGTCTATCTATCTGCTATTATGTATCTATCTCCCTGTCTACTCTTATCCATCTGTCATCTGTCATCCATGTTTCCATCTGTGTGTGTATGAAGTGCAGAGAATTTAACCTAGGGCCATGTACTTACTAGACAAGTGCTATAGTTCCATGGAATATACCTTCATTTTTAAACCTAATTATCTTGCACTCAATTCTTCTGAATTGTGGCCTCGTAAAATAAAATCCAAAAATTACAGGTTATAAAGTAAAAAAATTGAGGGTGATTCATACAAAATGGTAAGCCCAGGAAGGGAGGAGCAACAGACAGACAACGTAGCATGGGTGGTATACCTATATCAGGGTGTATTTCCCGTGACAAAGATCCAGGGGTGAGGGCTTAGAAAAGAAGAAAAATGACCCCGGAGCCATGGGATGGGATGGACGAAATTTGGGTGCCCAATGTGGGGCCCACATTTCCACATAGGGCCCGAGAAAGCTGAAAAACAAAACAAAACAAACAGAACAAAATAAACAAAACAACAGAGACAAAAAACAGATGTGGCCCCTTTAAGATGCTCTGCCAGATAGTCAGCACTTAAGCAGCCAGCAGGGTAAGTAAAAATAACAAACTAAATAAAAATGCCTGCCACAGTGTGGGCACCCACTTCCTAGATTCCTTAAATACAGCCCAGTTAAACACTGCTCTTGGCCAGGCCCATGGGCTGAAGGCTCAGCTCCCACAGACCTGAGGACAGAGTGGAGCCAGTCACCAGAGCCAAGGTGGAGGGCCTTGCTGCTGTTTAGCAGTTTAAAATTTGGCTAATGTGGTCAGAAAAGATTACAGCTAGGCAGTAAAGACAGGTCCAGACAGAAAACAACAACAACAACAAAAAACAGGTTACAGTATGTTTAAAAATGTGCATACACTTAAGAAAGAAAAGAAAATGGGTATAGACTGTCATAGAAAAAGTAAATCGTTTATGAATAATAAAGTCTTTAAAGAGAGTATAAAGTAATATAAAAAGAATAAGCTAGGTAAAGATGGGAAATACACAGGGAGTCTGGATCCTGCATGATGTTGTGCAGTCTTTCGAATGCTGATGAGCAAGTGACCGCTGCCGAGAGACAGTGGGTTGTAAAGGGACTGCTCTATTAAACCAGCCTACATACTTTAGGGGTCTCTTAACTTTAAAATGGAATTCAGAAAATGTATTGCACTGGGGAAGAGGTTATGCTTTGTTTCCACAGAAGATCAAAGGCTGTGGATTCCTTCAAGGTTACCAGAGGCTGGATTTGATTGGGGGAGACATCCTGAAAATCTTGGCTAAAGATATAAAGAAATAAACAGGAAAAGCTACAAGACAGGTGATGTATATGCTGAATCCCTCTGCGTGGGAACAATTCTGAGACTGCATGGCAACAACCAGTTTTCCTAGGACTTGACCATTGTCTCAATCTTCTCAGAGTCTCCTGGGATACCATCATCCCCAGGAAACAAGGGACAGTTTGGAGAAAACAACGTCCACTTTCCTAAGAGGTGAGGTTTCTGGGCTTTGGTCATTCAGTGGATTATGGATGCTTGTCATCATTTAGTGGGCATATAGGAAAATAGGATAAAAAGACAAGTAGTCATCTAAAATATTTCATATTGGTATGGATTTTATATATTGATGCAAATTTAAAGTTATTTTTGTTATATTGTTTATGTTCTTATTCTTGTTTGGAGTATTGTGCTTATGTAACTCATTTAAAAATGCAATGTATAACTAAGAAATACAGGTTAGTAGTTAGTCATCTATAATAATCAAACTTATAGTCTTATTAGGTATGTTTTTAAGATTAAACAGATATATTTAGATAGATGGTGATGTTCAAACACTTCAGAGACCTACAGACTCTGGCATTTAATATGTTTAATAACCTAAGGCTTTTCATGACAGTGAGACAAATCTGCTCCTGGCAGCACCAATCTATTTTATAAAAGGGTGATGGGCATAGAAAAACCTCCATATGGGATTTGTTTTCAATGTGGCAAAGCTAGCCATTTGGGCAAGAAACTGCCCTGCCTTTGATTGCTGACCATTTGCTATACAGACTAGACAAGCAGGGCAAAAAGGAAAAAGACTACTGAACTTTGCCAAGACAAGGCAAGACAATCCTTCAAAATTCCTGCTTTATAGAAAAGTCTGCCATAGACCAAAGATGCCCCAGTGTTACAGAGGAACAGGTAATGTATGTCCTTCTGGAGTCTCTGATAGAGTTGAAGACAAGATAGTCATAGTTACAGTTTCCTTATTAAATTCAGAAAAGAAACCTACATAAGAGATGTAAAGTTTATAAAGTTGAGAAGCATAAAAGCTTAAATTGTTTATCTAAGAAAATGTTTTGAGGTCTAAAAAGATAATTTTGGGTTTGTAATACCAAAAAAGTAAATTAGGTACACAACTTTGCATTTACCAAGATAGGATAGATAATGAAGTATTTTCTCTGAATTTGCAAAATACAAATGGACAGGATAATATAAATGTAATTCTTACTTAATAGTTGTTCTTACTGTATATAGTCTTACTATATTAAAGTTAAACCTTTTTTTATTTAGACAAAGGGGGAAATGTAGAATATTTGTTGAACTACGCAAAGTTGTGCTGTATTTAACTATGTAAAGATGTGTTATATTTGTTTATGCTGCATTTGTTTAACGATGTAATGATATGTTGCATTTGTTTTACTTTGCTGCCTAAGGCACTTGATTGGTCTAATAAAAAGCTGAATGACCAATAGCTAGACAGTAGAGGGATAGGCAGGGCTGGTGGACAGAAAGAATAAGTAAGAGGAAGAATCTAGGCTCCAGAGAGAATGAGGGGGAAAGAGAGGGAGACACCAGGGGCCAGCCAGGCAGGCAGCTGCCGGCTAGCCAGACACAGGGGAAGCAGGAAAGTAGGGCATACCGAATGAAATAAAGGTAAAAAAGCCATGAGGAAAAATGTAGATGAAGAGAAACAGGTTAAATTAATTTATAAGAGTTAGACAAGCATAAGATAAGGCCAAGCATTCACAATTAATAGTAAGTCTCTGTGTCGTGAATTGGGAGTGGGCAGTCTGAGAAAGCCTGATACAGGTGACCCTGAAACAGTGGGGTGGGACAGGTAACCCCGGAGCTGAGGATTGGGATTGGGATGGGTGTAGCTCCCAGAGGGAAGGGCATGTTTCTTGTGTGAGATAGAGCGGACCCTGAGCACTATAACCTTCTATAGTTGCACAAAATATGGGATAGGCTAGATTTTTTTCCTGTGGAGATATAAATGCTATGTTACAACATGATGACCAAAGACTTATGTGTGCTATGACAAGAAAAACCTCAGCAAGTTCTTAGGGAGAGGTTTTCAGCCTTTCTATCCCATTTAGGTTTTTTTTTTTTTTATCTTTATTTTTGAACCAGACAGATTGAGGCTAAGAATAGGGCATCCTTTATGTCCCAGAGCAGCAAGTGGAGCTTCGGCCAGGCATAAAAATACTGGGTCCCTTAAGAGCTGATCCTAATGATGCCAAAAGGCATGGTGACTTACCCATTGCAGCCTCTTTGTTTGCAAATAACTTGTTGTCGACCGCCATGCTGATGTCATAGAACACGGCGTCCTCGTCTCGGTCAGCATCAAACTGGGGAAACCAGGGCAGAAAACATGAGACACATAAGTGATTTGAGTCTGGCATCCAGCGGGCATGCATACAGTTGTGTCTGTAAGGAGGCAGGAGCTAAAGCGGCTGTGTTTATAACTAGATCCTTAGAGTCTTTTGATTCAGATCTCTGGCCAGATGGGGAGGGCAGCGGGAAGAAAATATTCAGTCACGGTGGCTAAGAAAAATGGGCAACATTTTCTCAATATATAAAGCAAGTTCTGAAAAGATAATTGAAATTTGCTTACAGCTTTCTGATTTAGTTTTTCTAACAAAAATAAAAAATGTATAGTTATGAACCACAGGGGTAAAATTTCCTACTTATTTACTGTGTGTGTGCTGTATGTGAGGGTGCAGAAGTACATGCAGGTGTGTGTACATGCGTGTGTGCATGCATGTGGGGGCTGGAAGCTGATGCTTGGTGTCTAGGATTTCTTTGACATGTTTACTGTAAGTGTGTGTGTGTGTGTGTGTGTGTGTGTGTGTGTGTGTGTGAACATGTGTAGAGGTCAGAGGACAACCTCAGACATGAGTTTTCATCTTCTACCATGTTTGAACATGCTCTTCTGTTTCCTACTGCATACAGCAGCCTAACTGTCTGGTGAACTTTGAGGGGTTTTCCAGTCTCAACCGCCCATCTCACCACTGGTGTGTCTGGATCTCAGGTGCACACTGCCGTGTGTGTCTGGATCTCAGGTATACACTGCCGTGTGTGTCTGGATCTCAGGTGCACACTGCCGTGTGTGTCTGGATCTCAGGTATACACTGCCGTGTGTGTCTGGATCTCAGGTGCACACTGCCGTGTGTGTCCGGATCTCAGGTGCACACTGCTATGTGTGTCTGGATCTCAGGTGCACACTGCCTTGTATGTCTGGATCTCAGGTGCACCCTGCCGTGTGTGTGTCTGGATCTCAGGTGCACACTACTATGTGTGTCTGGATCTCAGGTGCACACTGCCGTGTGTGTGTCTGGATCTCGTGCACACTGCCGTGTGTGTCTGGATCTCAGGTGCACACTGCCTTGTGTGTCTGGATCACAGGTGCACACTGCTGTGTGTGTCTGGATCTCAGGTGCACACTGCCGTGTGTGTGTCTGGATCTCAGGTGCACACTGCCGTGTGTGTCTGGATCACAGGTGCATACTACTTTGCTAGCTCTATTGGGATCTGGAGATCCAAACTCAAGTTCTCTTTCTGGTGAAGCCAATGCTTCACCCATGAACCAGCCCCTGTCTTTTTCAGAGGGTTGTAGCTCACAGAAGACCCGGGACAATCTATTTTATGTCATTTAATGTAAGAGGACTGAAGAGACCAAGTGGACATTTCAAAATGAAGTGCTTACCAAATTTCCTAGTCTGATCACAATGTGCATTTTCACATGGGAAAACAAGTGCAAACACAGCTTTCAAAGGCACAGGAGAAACTTCTATATTAGGAAACACATTTACAGCAGTGGGATCAGAACTGGGCATCATCCAAGGAGTACAATGGTCCACATTTCCAAGGGCAGAAACAAGTCTTTGTCTTCGTTTGACTTGCTATTGGAATCAACAAGCTGTACAAAGCTCCCCAGGGATATGGCCGTTCCCAGCCTTCTCCCTGTTCCCACCCCAAATGCTCCACCTTCGGTGGGAAGGTAGCAATTCAATCCTCCTCCAAGACTGCACCTTTAATTAAGCTTAGGAATGATGTTGAGAGGAAGCAAACGGGCTGTGTTATTAACATTGTTGCAGTTTCCTATTTCCCGAGTGCATTCTCTAGCTTCAAGCCAGGCTGCAAAAAAAAAAAAAAAAAAAAAAAGCATTCTCTTTCCCCTTGCCTTGGGGCAGAAATTTCAACCAAGCACTCTCCCCTAGTGGCTTTCTTCCTCTGCTGTCAGTTGCAAAGAGTTGGTCCCTCAAATGCTCCAGGAGAGCCACCCATGGGGAATACATATGTGTTTGTAATCTGCTGGTGAGCCACAGCAAGGCAGATCCCTGGGGTTCAATGGCCAGCCTGACCTAATTAGTAAGCCCCGGAGTCCCAGTGAAAGGTCCAGTCTCAAACAAACAAAGAAACAAACAAAAACAAAAACAAGGGATGGGTCAGCAGTAAAGAGTGCTAGCTGCTCTTCCAGGTGACCCAGGTTTGATCCCAAGCACCCATGTGACAGCGCATAGCCATCTGTAACTCTAGCTCCAGGCTTCCTGATGTCCCTTTGGCCTCTGTGGCCTCTGTGGGCACGGCACATATGTACTACAGAGATACACCTGCTTGCAAACCACCCACACACATAGAGTAACAGTCAATAAATCTAAACACACAAACAATAACGAGGAGAAGAAGGGTCTAAATTCGGCAGGATTCTGTGTAGAGAGACTTGTACAGGGCTCATGGAAGCTGTGGATAGCAGAGTCGAAGACTCATTGTCTCCACCTTTCTCTTACTGGGAAGTCAATGCTCAACCAACAGTGTTGTTGGGCAAAGTTACCAGAGTAGAGATTCCAGACAAGCCTGGTAGGATACTCATGAAATGCTTTCAGAAGAGAAACCCCCCTGAAGTCAAAGACTTAACAATGCAATTGTGACTTTGACTTGTTTCGTGACAGGAACCTAAGGAAGAAAGGCAGCTGGTTAATTCTGGCTAACATTAGCTCAGTGGACGTTCTTCACAGTGACATCAATGTGACAGCAACCTGGCTCTAAAGATCTATATCACGTTACTGTTGGCTGGGAAACCACTTCACTGTGGTGGTCGTCTGCCATGTGTGCATTAGCTGACCACTCGTCTCTGCAACAACATTGTAAGAAAGCCTGACCACGCATGCGCACCCTGTCCAGAAGCGTGTGCACAGGGACACCCTCTCACACAATGGACCACATCTTCAGGTTTGATGCAGCCTCTGCCCTGGTGAGGACGCTCTGTAGTGTGTGCTTGCTAGCGTGTGTGAAGCTATGGGTTCATCCCTGGCACTATAAAAAACAACCAACCATTCAAACAGAACAAAAACAAAACCAAGGTTTCGAGGGACTAAATGACCCTTCTAATGTCGTGTGTGGCAAAGCTGGGGGCTAAGTAGACTTCAGGCCACACGAGAGTGTGAGCTCGGTCAGCTGCCCATGCGGCTGAGCTTCCCCTGGCAAGTCCCTGAAAAAGTACTGAATGATGGGTGCTGTTTGCTCACGTGGGAGACTCAGGCAGGAAGGGAAGGAAGTCTCAAAGAACAACAACTTCCCTCCTCTCTGGTGTACCTGTGCGTGTGCGTGTGCGTGTGTGCGTGCCGTGTGTGCCTGTGTGTGAGTCCCTTCCACCCTGCTGAGGTATACTGACTCTGCCCCCCCCCCCCCCCCCGCCCGTCCTACCCATGAGCTTCTGGGCAATTCTTTTTTTCTCCTCCTTCCATCTCTTTGTAGGACTGCAGGGATTACACATAAGAGACACTGCATTGGGACCTTGTGGGCTCTAGTGATCAAAGTCCATCATCAGGCTGGTGGAGCAAGTGCTTTCACCTGTGGATCACCCCCAATCCTTCATTGAGCATATTCCGTATGACAGGTTCTGTACCAGGTTATAGTACACAAGAGAGGGAGATTAACCCATGTTGGTTTTGTCCTGGTTAAAGCACTGGATGACTAAGGTAAAGAAAGGGTTAAAAGGTTGAAGGGCTAAAGGGCGCTATTTTCTGAGGGACTCAGATCTACACTGTGCCTTTCCTACTCCTTACCGCACTCAGCAGCGTTTGAACTGTCAGTCAGTCACCAAATGCCAAGCTGAATGGACCAGAAAGCTAACTTAATTAAAGTACCTTTTCCATTTCCTAGTCTCTTTTTCCTCCCAGCATTCTTGAAATCCGAGGCTTTCAAAAATCACAAAATTGGTTAAAGATTTAAACCTTTGTCAAGGAAGTTGGCAAATTAAAGCAGCTCAAGCCCTAGAAGACAAGTTTCAACTTTATGTGACACCCATGCCTTTCCTAATCACAGGCTCTATCGTCTCCCATGACCCCAGTCCTGAACCCTGGAAGGCTGAAAGACACACACACACACACACACACACACACACACTCCCACTGTTGAAGCCATGAGATGTGTGATTGGGGCTAATTTTAGCCCTAGAAGATGGGAGATCAGGCTCATTCCAGCTGTTCATTTTTGTTCATTTTCGTATTATTTTTTCTTAGTTGAGATGCTTCATTCAATCATCACCACCGCCATCACCATCATCATCACCATCATCAGTGCTAGGGATGGAACCCAGGGCTTGGCACACACTAGCCAAACAATCACCCCAGGCTATCCCACAGTCCTTTCCTTTCATTTCCCGGCATTCTCTAACCTGGGACTCAGTTGTCTGCACAAATAACTAAATGTTTCTGTCTTCTCAAGTAGCTACAACGGCCAAATATGGTCAATTCTCAATTATGTGGGAGAGTCAATGGAAATCAAGTAAAATCAAAGGGAGCAGCTTAGAAAATTGAAGACTCTGGGAAATGTTTCTGACAGGAATACAGGACAAGCTGAAAAAAGGCACGACTCCCAGGCAGGAGAAGGAGTCAGACTTTCAGTCAGTGCATACTGTGTTCACGCTAAGGGATTACCCTTCTCGTAAATGTAACAGCACTGAACACTCACGGGAGTGAATAATCAGTCTGGATAGTCAAGGGCCGAGAGAGAGAGAGAGAGAGAGAGAGAGAGAGAGAGAGAGAGAGAGAGAGAGGGGAGGACAATAGTTGAGTGGGGCAGGATACTGTCAGAGGCTGCAAGGGGTTCGCATGCCTTTGTACAGGCAAGGCTGGCAAGCAGAAGAAAGGAAGGGAGGGGGAACAGCAGGAGAGAGAATGGAGGTTTGAAAGCAAGCTGTGTATTGGGGAAGTAAGGGCACCTCTGGTTGTGTACTGTCTTTCTTCTTGAAGGTATTTCGAGGCCTTCTGTGGCTTCAGCTTGCTACTCTCCGTGAAACCTCTGGCCATGTATGTAAAATGAGACAGTAGAGCTCAGGTATGTA